TACATAAATAACATGTTCAGATACACACACAGTTTATAGTCAGCCTATCAGAAGACTGTCTTTTTGGGAACACTGAATTTCTGTTTCACACTTTGTATCTTAAAAAAAACAACCTACAGTAATGAGAGATGACAATATGCAAGTGTTTCTTCCTGTGCCATGCAGGATTTGCTACACTGAATGTTACTAACTTGCCTTCCCCCCAAGATCTGTTTTGTATGTGACAGCAGGTTAATCACCAGAGAACTATACTGAGGCAACTGAATTAATACTAGAATGAGAGGCAAGTTACTTGCTTTATGCTAGGAGAGATAATTATGGAAACACGTGAGTTTAGGCCTTAAACCTCCACTAACGAGGCTGCACTTCCACAATGCATGGTTATCATTTCAAATGCAATCAGCAACAACATGGGGCTTTCTGCTTGTATATAACAACATTCCTTCCATCCCCCAAAATACACAAATTTTATTTTCATCTTCCCCTGGCACTGAGGCAGCGAAATCCTAAATGTGACAGAGATAAATTTGTCAATCTCCTTTTTTGTTGTGAACCTGACTGCAAACTAGCAGTCATGGACTTTTATCTCAGCCTTTTAGAAACCTGCAGCAATCTCTTAATGCTCAAAGAAGCTGATGGCATTCAAATCCACATACAGAAAGGTAGCTGAAACAAAAAACAGGACTATGTAGCACTTTAAAAACTAACAAGATGGAAAGTCTAAGAACCTTTCTACTACAGATGGCAACCTCAATTACAGGCAGTCCCCGGGTTACGTACAAGATAGGGACTGTAGGTTTGTTCTTAAGTTGAATCTGTATGTAAGTCGGAACTGGCATCCAGATTCAGCCGCTGCTGAAACTGACCACCAGTTCTGACTTACATACAGATTCAACTTAAGAACCCCAAGCTTCCCCAAGTCAGCTGCTGCTGAAACTGATCAGCGCTGATTCCAGGAAGCTTGGGGCAGAGCAACTCTGCCTCGGGCTTCCTGTAGTCAGCGCTGGTCGGTTTCAGCAGTGGCTGACTTGGGGACGCCTGGGGCAGAGCAACTGGGGTGCTGCTGGGTTGCTCCAGTAGGGCCGCTCCTCGGCGCTACTGGACCAGCCCAGCAGCACCCCAGCTGCTCTGCCCCAGGCATCCCCAAGTCAGCCGCTGTTGAAACTGATCAGTTTCAGCAGCGGCTGAAA